TTCCTAAACATGAGTGAGTCAAGAGGCTTCTGTAAAACCATTCTGAGTCAATAATCTTATTTTCTCTGTGTGAAATAATTTTAGAGATAAAGGCTAGGAAATTGATATATATATTCACAATTTGAGTGTTCTGTTGTTTGTGGGCCAAAACTTTGCTCAGGGGTGACACACAGCTATGCACTTTCCGATTCTCCCAGACAATGGGTTTAGGAAAATACACGATCAGGTTTCAAGTCACAGGAAAGGCAAAATTACTCATGTCAACGCACAGTGGGTCAGAAGTGAGTAATAAAACAGGCCATCCTCATAGAAGAGGCTCTGTTGCGACAGATCGGCTTTCGTTTTGCATTGGGCTGTGTGCCTCAGTGTCTCTCCTGCCAGAGGAAAAGAAACTCTGGGAAGGTTGGTCAAGGTTTAACCGCCCCCACCATCCGGCTTCCAGAGATTGGCTGGGAAGCTTTGCCTTGGAGCGCCATCTAGAGGGAATTTCAGCACATACAGGGCATTCTCTTTGGGCTATGTGATCCAGACTTAACCAGATATTTGGGGAATATAGTAAAAAAATTTCTTCCTTCCTTCCTTCCTTCCTTCCTTCCTTCCTTCCTTCCTTCCTTCCTTCCTTCCTTCCTTCCTTCCTTCCTTTCCTGCCTCCCTCCTCCCCTGCCTCCCTCCCTTCCTTCCCCCCTCCCTCTCTCCCTCCCTCCCCCTTCCCTCCCTCCCTCCCTCCCTCCCTCTCTTGGGAAGTAGAGGTAAGATGACCAGAAGTTCAACCTAAAGAAACCACAGAAAACAGGAAAGTAAAAATGGACCGTGGGTAGGTGTGGAGAAGGAGCCCGGGAGAATGGGACAATAGATGCTATGTAGGTAAAATAGGGAAATTAGGGGTTCAACTGGGCAGAGAGAAGGGGAGAAATACAGAGGGAGAGGAGGGGAAGGGATAAATTACATCAAGGGTGTTTGAAAATGTCATAGGGAAACTTTAGTGTTTACAAAAAATACCCACGTGTGTGTGTGTGTGTGTGTGTGTGTGCATACATACTCAGTTTACATGCAGTTATTTTACTTGGAGCAATAATGCTCCCTCAGGGGCATCAGACTCTAACAAAACCCCCAGTTCCAGGCACAGGAAACTTTTCTCAGGTTGTTGTGGGGGGGTCCAATAAATTACCAGTTAATACAGCCCATTGCCGTTGCTCTTGGTTGCCCCCCAGAACTTGTAGGCAAGACCCGTCGCTGAAGAGACTACATACTTCTGACACAGTACTTTGAGGAACCGAGCTGGAGCCAGCCAGGAAGCCTACACCCTGAAAACTAGCACTCATAGTGTCTGAGTGGGTTATGCAAGTTACCAAGGCAAAGACACCCATCACCAGTTCCACATAGCTGTTAAGCCTTCCAGTCACACATTGATCAGAATGTGGTAAAATATCCCCAAGGGTGTCATAGTGGTACTGATATCTTGGAGGTAACCAACAGCTGTCTACTTGGATCTACATCTTGCTCGAGAGGAGGGAATTCATGTTTGGTACTGTAAACCTAGCCAACTACCCGTGGCTGGCAAAGTCATGGACCCCAGCAGAAAACCTAGTACAGCCACTCTCCCAGTAATCTCTGACTGTATTCTCAATATGTGTTCTTATCCCCACAGGTGTAGCTCCCACTCCCCATCGAAGAGGCTTCTTTTTTCTTTTGCAGTAGGTGAAGATTATTACAAGAATCTACAACTGGTCAAATGCCGAAAACAACAGGCCATGGGTGCCCAACCACAGCTGATCCATCTACAACACAGCTTGGGGAACGGATTGGAGGAGAGAGCAGAAGGATTGCAAGAGGCAGAGAACCAAGATGTCTGCTCTGAGTATGCGCTGTCTGTATATGACAGGGAAGCTGTACCCATGAAATATCAACAATATGGCTACCCAAGCAAGACCTACATAATGACAACACTGCTGACATGTCAATGTGGATGGGGAAATTCACAAAGCCCCACTCCTAGATGAAGAGTTACAGGCAAATCATGGCTTCTGAGTCAGTCTTGCCCAGGGATGAGCTCCTGGTAGATCACCTAATGCCAAGTGGGCACCCTAAACATATACGCATAGTAACAGCATCAAATGGACCCAGGAAACGGATATATAATTATAATTAGTTATGTAACTATAATTATGCAACTAAAGAGGAGGAGGTCATGAATTGGAGAGGGAATAGGGGGGCAAGGGAAGTATTACAGGGTGACAAGGAGAGGTGGAAATTATGTAAACATAGTGTTCATGTGTGAAATTCCCAAAAAATTAGAAATGAAGTAAGAAAGGATACCGAGTTGGGAGGGGGAGAAAGTGGGGTATGTATCTGATAGGAATTAGGAGGGGTGAGAAGTGGATGTACTCAAAATACTTTGTGTGTATGCTTGAAGAGCCTCAAAAATAATACAAACATTGTTTTTAAAAAGAAGTTTAAGAGCATTGTCAGCTACATAGCTAGTTTAAGGTTGGTTGGGGCTACATGAATCTAAAAAATATCTGAAATAATAGGAAAGTTCAGTTTTGGTTTTAACTTGTCACACAGAAATAAAATATGTGGTTCCTTAAATGGAGACAGAATGTCTACTGAAACAGTGAGAGACCTCAGCAGACTTGAGGGGTGTGTGCAGCTATGGTGCCCCACACAGACATAACACGAGTATCCTTTCCCCACAGGAGATCATGTCAGAAACCACATTTGATGTGCACGTAGGTTAAGCAGTCTTCGCTGTCTCCAGAATTGTTGTCTTGATTCAAAACATTCTGCTTCACTGGATTTTCCAAGGTCAAGATGGAGAAGACGCTTGTGTGAGGAAAGCAAAAGCTGGTGTTCCAGCCTGCTGTCATCCTTCACTAAGTTCGGCGAAACTTGAGCAGAAAGATTCCTCCAGATGCAACGGCTTAGGGCTGTGTGCGGGAGACTAAAATAATATCCACCGACATCTTCTTCCCAAAGACGCCTTTCCACACTTTGCAACCTCCTGCCCGTCTCCCTCAGAGAACTTCAACAGTGAAGGCTTCTATTTTTGCAGCAGCATGAATAGAAAAACAAAACCCAGACTTTTTCTAACAGTGACACTCTTCAAGTTGCTGAGCAAACACAAAGCACCCTTAAAATACTCTGACAGCACGATGACTCCAGTTATGGGGGGGCGGGGCGAGGCACAGCCGGAGGGTTTTTTTTTTCACTACTTAAAAGTAGCAGGACTGTTGGTACTACAAAAAAGTTCAGTGGTGAAAGCTCAGTATTTGCACCGTTTTACATCTGTGGGTGCAGCATGACCCCACCACTGCGGCCAGACGCGTGCTTCCCCGGGGGCTTGTCATAAAAGACCACCTCTGTCCTTGGTACCTACGATGCACAGCATCATCAGCGTTCCTGTTTCCTCTCTCTGAGCAACGCTTCTGCTTGCTTATTTTGGCAGGTCCACACATCCATAGGTTTTTCCAAGATAACTTGTTAATAAGTCGTTGCTGTGCGTGAGCCAGACTTGTGAGGTCTCCACACAGAATCTATTTCTTGTCCACTGAGCTCTGTCAAAGTTGAGCAAGATGGTGTACTACACAGTAGAAGGCAGGACCAGTCTGGCTTTCCCAGTCAGCCTGCCTCATCCTTAAGCAGCGGGGGACTCACTGGAGTTCTAAAGCAGAGAGTAAAGACCTCTTAGCATCATTTGCTGCATACTAGAGTTGAAGCCAGTCCAACATACATGATTGTGAGCTGACTGAGTGCATGGCAGAGTACAGGTGTGCTGGGCTGCAGAGGCTGGGAACACACATGCGAATGTTGTTGGAGGAACAAGGAATTGGCTATTTCCTCAGGTGGCTTAACAGAGATGAGAGATTGGGCACTTAAGACACACAGACGAAATAGCTGTCCTATACTGGCACTATGGGGAAGGAAGTAAATATTGATGTTTCAGGAGAAAGGGGAACTCTGTAGAAAAAAACTAGCATTGGATCAGTACCTTAAAGACTGGGAAGAAGTTTAATGGGCAGAGAACAGGGTGGAGATTTTCATGGAGAGGTAGAATGGTCTTCATTCATTTGGACTAAAACAAAATGCGTTTTACACAGAAGTCCCAATTTTGTGTCCACGTTGTCAGTTGGGTACAAAGAAATGAAGTATTTGTATTTAGGTTGTAAGAATCCAGAACCCATCATCGATTTTTTTGCATAGTAAATAATTTATGTACACTCACACATGTATATATCTTACTTCTTTACATTATTAAGTAGCAGAAAATCTAACATACTTAAGTCAGAAAACATTCTCCTTGGTCGTTTAACAAACAGTGTGAGTAGAAACCAGACCAACGTTTCTCACTAGCAAATGGGAACCAGCAGAAGGTTTTGTTTTGATCCTTGCCATCAACGTTTGCTTTCAGAGTTAATCCCAAGGCCTTTTCTGGCCAGCTGTGCTGGTGTTCCCTATAAATCACACAGGCCTCCATCAATGGCCTAGACCCAAGAGACAGATAATTTCAGCTTAGTGAGCCTCCGAACCCTGTGTGTTCACTCTTACCCGCTCCTGCTCCTGAGGCCTCCCTGGGCCTTTCCCCAAGCAAGTGTTCTTTCTGAATTTCACATACTCATGGTCACGTTCACACATCCTCTTGGGTCTTTGCAGCAACTCAATCCTATCCAGTGATTTCTCTGTCCTGTGACACACCCCTAGTTCCTCTACAAAGAAATTACATTGGGGGTAGGGAGTAAGGATGGGCAAGAGAACCAACTTACAAAACACCAGAATAGAGGGCCCTGGTCTTCATTCTAGGGCTATCCACCTGCGTTAAGGTGTTAACGATTTTGTAGTTTTAAAGAAACTGTTGTCAAATATATACTACCGTAAACAGGACATGTATGGGCTGCCGTGGAATAATCATGGGGCAAATTTTCAGTGAAACAGAAATACATAGAAGAAAGCCTGGAGGGGCACATGAATGGAGGTGACCTTCCACCACCCACAGACACACTTACGGTGAGCATGGCAAACATCAGCTGGCACACGTTGAAGGCATGTCTCCAGTTGTGGTAGAGAACCATCCGGTAGTTCTTCCTTACCGTCAGAAGCCACCTGCACAGGGTCTGAAATGGGAGGGGGTGTTAGGGGGTGGTTTGTGTCCTCAGAGGACCACTGCTAAAGTGATACCATAAGGTGATCAAACTTTCCACAAGGGGCTGGGTAGGCGGCTGGGAGGAAGACCTGAGTCTGGTTCACATCTTTAACTCTAGTCTGAGGGTATCTGATGACCTCTTCTGACCTCCCTGGGTTCCAGGCATGCACGCGGTGCCCATACTTACACACGGGCAAAACAGCCATACACAAACTAAGACAAATCTAATAAAGACATTTTTAACAAAACAAAGCAAAGACCTAAACTTCCATGAACATTCTGCCAGATTCTTGAGGCACTTCCATGGGGCACACAGGCAGGGACTGTCACCTACACCGTATCTTTGGAAAGCCTTTATGTCACAGTGACGACAACACTTTGCAGGTGCACTCCTTAGCTCCAACAGAGACCATCTTACCTCATAGTCGATTTTAAATTTCTGTACCATCCCCAGCTCCATGAACATCCGGAGAGCAGCTGTGATCATGGCGTCAACATCAAGGGAAAAGTCATCAAAGTGGATGTCATCAATGGCCAGCTCTGACACCAGAGGGATGTTGGCTGCCTACAAAATCGAAGACATAAGCCAAGACAAGTTCACCAGCTTTACCTAACCCCGTGTCCCACTCTCTCCTGCTTATCAGTGGCGCCGCATAAATCAGTCCTGACCCGTACTTACACTCTGATACTGCTAAACTCTGAGCTATAAATGTCTTTTGTTTCTCAGCGGCAAACGCCCAAGAAAATGGAGGGGGGAGGGAGAGAAGGGAAGCTAATTAGAAGATAAAATATACACACTAGGTCTCTCCACAGAATTCAGAATATACAACTGTCTAGTTTACTGGGACTGTGGCCATACAATATACTCTGGTGCATATTGCTACATGAGGAAACATCTGGGTGGCCAGCAGCTATGCATTTTATTTGCTTCCATGCAGAATAGGAGGTGGGAATGCGCTGCTTTCCTTGCTTCTTCCATGCTTGTATCCTGTACCTCACAAAAATGTTCTCTGTTAAACACACATTCTGTGTATTCAGAAGGACATACAAGGGCAAACGGCTCATCTCTGGTACAAAGTGTGCTGCGCTGACGGTCCTGGAGAGACAGCACAGCTTCATGTGAAAGATACCTTTTTCTGTACTGTTTAACAATACACAGTACAATTCTAGTACTGGCCATATAGTTAGGGTTTCCAAACACCCCTGTTAGGTGGCTGTCAATCGTTATCCAGCACAAACCTAAAGGGGAGGGAAACTAAATCTATAGAAATCGTTTTTTATGCCAATTGGTTGGGTTTACTGTGCCATTTGGGCCTCTCTTGCTGTGTTGGGGGGTTATTTTTATGACTTTCAAGTTACCAGAGACCACTGTGTATTTGTATTCCTAGTCTATTCACTGGGTATAAATTATCCTGTGAGTAATTTATGCCCTGGAACTACTTTGGCTAAGCAATTAAATCCAGCTATGGTCACTCCAGGCATTCCAGAAACCACATAATCAATCCTGCCTCTCCAACCCGGTGCTTTTCTACAAAAGTTTATGTGCCTAAGCAAAAATACAAACAGTGCTTATTGCCCACACTGTGGATGAGTGATGGCCAAATCTATGTGTTGGGACAATTAAGCTTCCTTCTTGAAGACTTTACTTCTATCAAAACTTAATTCCCTGAGACTTTACCAAATCCTTTTAATATACCAATAGGTTTACAGGTACTAGATTTCTGGAATTAAACGGTAAGGCTTTTGAAATTCACAGTGGTAGACATCTTCTTGGTGTGTATGCGTCCCTATGAAAGTACCTTGTTTGTTTATTTACCTTATAACTTTTTCATCAAAATTAGATAAATCTATATTAGTTTTTTAAATAAGTGTCCAGTAACGGGTTTCATTATGAATGTCACACATGCATGTCAAGTATTTTGCTCAAAGTCAACCCCTCTCCCACCCCTCTTCCTGTGTTCCCAGTTCATCTCCACCAACAGCTCTGCTTTCACTTCTGTGTTACACATACATTTGAATACATATCCAACACATGAGCAAAACCACACGATGTTTGCCTTTCTGAGTCTGGCTTATTTTGTTTAGCATGATGATTCCAAGATCCATTTCATGTATTATTTACTTATATGCCCGCCTTTTTGTTTGCTTCAAATGGCACAATTTTACTTTTCTTTTGGTATTTGTGTGTGTGCCGGCTTGTGGGTGTGTTCGTTCACACACACAATTTTGTGAGTGAGGCAGACGGAGGTTGACGCCGTATCTTCCACTGTTCTCCCCACCTTACTCTTTTTGAGAGAGGACCTATGACTCAACTGGAACTCTTCAGTTGGCTAGAATGTCTGGCCCATGATCTCTAGGGATCCGCCTGTCCCATGTTTGTACCCATCCATGCCCCCTGTTTGTGTCTGCAACAACACCAAGGTTATAGAGGTGTCCAGCTTTATGTGGGGCTGGACATCTGAACTTGGGTCCTCATGTTCCTGCAGCAACCACTTATCCACCAAGCTGTCTCCCCATCCAACTTCCTTCTGTATGACTGAACAAACACCCACCATATCACGGTATATCACTGCCTACATGACCACGTTTTCTCTATCTGTTATTCTGCTGACATGCACTTAGGTTGGTTCCATATCTTGGCTATTGTTAATAGGGTGGCAATAAACACTGATGCACTTGGATCTCTGCAGGACTGAACACATCAGTGTTGAAAGCAAATCAGCTGCCTCATGCTGTTACAAACGCAGACACACAGTCATATTCCTCTGGCAACAAATGGAGCAACCACGTCCAACACCTAGATTTATTTTAATCAAGTAAGATTGCTGAAATTTTATTAATTATTACAATTATTTTGTTTTAAGAATTATCCAAATTCCCACCATTGAAGATAATGGTCAATCTGACTCATGTGATACCTGACAACTTCTGTTGCCCGGAGCACTGCCCATTTCATGCATGCATGCTTACATACATTCATAATAAATACATACATACATCATACATCATACATAATACATACATACATACATACTTTGTCTTGTTAGGTAATATTCAACAATTATACCATTATTCCCATCTACAAGATATGAATAGTTAACTCACATAGTTTACTCTGACCACCTGTCAAATCCTTGATCTCACATGAAATTCTGTAGTAGTATTAGTGGTAGTTCTTCAGCCTTCCAGTGGAGCAAAGGGTGGCCTTGAACTCCCTCCTGAGTGCTGGGACTAGTTATGTGCCATCATGTTGGGCTAACAGCCTTCTTTGCCGTGTGCTTTGTTGTTTACGTATTTACCATTAGCTCAAACTTCTTGTCAAAGAAATTCAATGTTGTTAATGACAACATTGTCTCCTTTAAAAATGTTAGATGCTTTTTTGATTACTCTATGGATTTCATGAAAAGATGACTCCAGGTTCCTGCTCTGACTTCCCTAGATGAGGGACTGCAACCTGTGAGGTCAAATAAACCCTTTCCTCTCCAAGTTGTTTTTTGACGGAGAAACAACCAGGACACTCTGAAGATGTTAATGACAGTCCCATTTGACCTTTCTTCTCCTTCCCTGCTTTTTACCACTTCGCTTTGATCTTTGTTCTTATGGTGACAGAAGCACACATGCTAATTTACACAAACATTCAAGTAAACAGAATTACTAAACACATGTACATTGTTGTACAGCAGACCTCTAGAACGTCTTCATCCTATGTAATCATTCCCACTGAGCAACTCTTAATATTCCACTCCAGCTTTTAGCGATTATCATTCTACTTTCCGTTTCCAAGTTTGGTTGCTCTAACTACCGTGTACTTAGGGACTCGTGCAGTATTTGTCTTCATGTGACTGGCTTGGATCCTGTAAGTTGGCATATTCCCCTTTAAAGACAATATGCCAAGGGGTGTGCATCCAACACACCTTTTCTTTTCCCTCAAATGGCTCAGTGTCTTCCTCAATTAGCCTTCAATAAGGGAGTTTGAGATATCACCGACTTTGGAAGTCTTGGAGGTTTTCCTTGGGTGCCCGATAACCTTTGGTTTCCCAGTCTTGCTTAGAAGCTTCTATTACAGCCTGGAGGCTGCCCTGTGGAGGGGCTGTGTGACCTGTTTTCTTGGGGAGCTGGGCGAGGTCCCCCTCCTTGTATCTGTGCTCTTATGGGCCCCTCTTCTCTAGAGCATCTGACAGCTGTCTGGTTGTGAGTCTACGGTGGGGTCGGGGCAGCCACACTAATGATCTCACTAGTGTGGAACTGCTAATTCAGTACCGTCCAGCCCATACCCCTGCCGGCCTCTGCACAGATGGCTCCACACGAAGACTCCAGGAGTGGGACGGGGACCCTGAGGCACCCGCCCTTAGACTCCTGTTTTCCTGCAGGAGCCCCGCTTTCACCCTCACTCAGGGCCACCCCCTGAGCTGTTTGTAGGGAGGAGTCGATGGTGTACAGCTGATCTCTCACCTCTGCACTGCTAGCTGTTTTGACTTTCTTGGGTTTGCTAAGTTAAATCCCATTTATCTGTTTGTTCTCTAGGTTCCAAAACGCTATCATTAGTAACTTCTTTCTCAGTTGATTTGTCTTTGAGAATTTATACCAAATCCTCTATGACTATTTTAAAAAGTCCTGGGAATGGAACAACAACAACAACAAAAAGACAAGGAGCTTGCTTAAGTGACTATTTTAATCCATAAATGATCAAAATGCTGTTATTTAATGATACTTTTGACATGGCCAGCTTGGGCATGCAGAAGTAAACCAGATTTAGTATGCAGTCCCTTCTAATACATGTGACTGGCAGCAGCAATGTGTATTGTGCCTGTGCGTTCAGTACAAGAGCTCACACTAATCAGGCTGTAATAACCAACAGATACCACACTGCTCCTCCTTAGGAAAGTGCCAGAGCAGCTTGGTCCCCCACCCCCACTTTTGTGGTTTGTGTATAGGGAATGCTGGGTATTTGAAGAGATCTATGTTTGTTGCACTTTGTTCAAATTTAAGAGCAACCAGAAAACTGCTTCCTAAGGGACAAAGGCACTACCCAAAATGACACAGGTCTTTCTGGTCTCAGCAGGAAAGTCTGCTTCTGAGTTGAAACAGGAGACTGAAGCCTCTTACTGATTGTCACCAGAGATGCCTAAATGGCAATGGCGACATCATTGCTGCTCTCCCAGTAGCCCCTGTCTTCCAGTTATTAATAGTGTGGGCCTCCATGCCATTATAAATCCTCCCCTTCAAAGGCACTAAATTCACTTAATTATCTCAAAAATTAAAGAATATAGGCATCTTTTCATTATGAAATGTTAATGGAAAGGAAATAAGAACATTAGGTTGAGAAATGGAGGATGACCTCTGGTTCACTAAGACCCAACCTTATTGACCTTGTCTTTTTTCCCTAATAGGTTGATTGATCCACAGTTAAATCATGCCAGTCCATATATCACCCTGAGCCCTGTTGTAAACCTTTGCTGGGATGTACAGATACATAAAACATTCTCAGACTTTCAGGAGAGATCTTTTTTTTTGATCATTTAACCAAATATGGGCAGTTTTCATCCATACATTCAAGAGCAAGTT